GGTGCCTTCACTGAACTTCCTCTGGCCTCGGCAAGCGCCAGAGTTCCTTGTGCCACTCACTCGGTTTTTGACTTGAAAAAGCAGTGATGGGTTGATTGTGTTGTTTTGGGGGGTTGGTTTATGTTTTTTTTTAACAAATCAGGCAGTATCTCTGGCTTGCAGGCAGGTCGTGTCCTGCCCCGCTGAAGCCATAACACATTTCTCACTCTGAAATCATAGAATCATGGAATCACAGGATGGTTTGGGTTGGAAGGGACCTTAAAGCTCCTCCAATTCCAACCCCCAGCCACAGGCAGGGACACCTTCCACTAGAGCAGGTTGCTCCAAGCTCCGTCCAGCCTGGCCTTGAACACTGCCAGGGATGGAGCATCCACAGCTTCCTTGGGTAGCCTCCAGCGCCTCACCACCCTCACAGTAAAGAACTTCTGCCTTATATCTAACCTGAACTTCCCCTATTTCAGTTTGAACCCATCACCCCTTGTCCTATCACTACAGTCCCTAATGAAGAGTCCCTCTGCAGCATCCCTGTAGCCCCCTTCAGACACTGGAAACACACAGATGTAAAAGCCTCTCATCAGTCTGTGACAGCAATATAGAAACTATCATTAGATTAAAACTGACCTCATTTGCTTCTTGAAGCTCATGCTGTTTTCTTCCTTGCATGGAGCTAATGTGAGCCACAAAGATCAGCTGTGTGCCTTTTGCTTCCCCTTCCCCTCCTATTAGAGCCATGCTGTTGCACCAAGTCAGCAGCAGTGCGAGTTCACACTGTTCCCAACAAAACCTCTCTCTTTATTGATGTTAAAGGACCATGAAAGGCAGAGAAAGGCTTCTAGGAAAAGCCAGCTGTGGGAAGCTTTCATCCTGCACGTTTTGCCTTTCCTTCATTAAACTCTTGCACTTTTTCTGTTCTCCAGGAGGGGGCTGAGTCTTCCCACCAAAAGAGGGTGAATTTCATGTCGTTCCTTTTCCATTGCTCGCTTTAGAACTCCTACACTCCTCACTTCCTTCTGCTGCCCGACTTTGCAGGACTTTTCAGCATTATTGTTATAGCAGTTCAGTATTTCAGAGGGAGCCCACACGTTTTCAGAACTAAGTATATCCCCAGCTCCCTAGTTACACTTGGCACAATGGCCTTGCAAGCCAAAACACGCTCCTGACAGGAATGCAAAGGCTTTACAGAGAGTTGTAGAAAGGTGAAGTGATGGTAGAGTCCCAGGAGAAGTGATGAGCTGGCATGGCATGGGTGAGCAGCTGCCCAAGAGATGCAGAGGGCTGGAGAAAATGCGCTATCCTTTGGTCTGTGGCAGCACTTGGGTGTGACCTGGGAGATGGAACAATTTGTCCCTTCATTCCAGAGCTCAATCCTACCCTGGATTGTTGTGAGGGTGTTTGCCCAGAGGTTTAAATGACACCTACAGACTTTTCCCCAAACCATGTGGTTGGTTTCTCTGTCTGTTCACCAATGCTGATGGGTTGTGGCTTCTCCTGAGCGCTCAAGCTGCTTGTTAGGATTGCTTGGAAGTAGGTGGCAAGTTGCAGGTCTGGTGCTTTGAGTCTCCAACAAGCCTCACTTACCTTGTAACTCCTTTTTCTTTCAGTTTGGTGACCTCACATCCCTGTCCCCAACGCTGCTGGACAAAGGTACCTCCTCTCCCTCAGGGGAAGTGCTGCTGGGTCAGGGTTAAATCGCTGTGGGAGGGGGAAGCTTGTGCTGGCTCTTCCACCCTGCTCTCTTGGGAAAAAGAACCTCTTCCCTTCTGACTGCCACTCTCATGCTGAGACCTGTCCTTTGCAGATGACATTAGTGACCTGGGCAACGAGGTGGACACGGACTCCAGGAGCATGGGAGAGCCGCTGGTGAAACGGGAACGCAGCGACCCCGGCTACTCGCTGCAGGAGATATGAAATGGGGACTTGGCTTTTCTCCAGCTGGGGGAAGACATCCAGAGCCAGGTTTGATGCTCACAAGCCTGAGTCTCCTGTATCTGCATAATTAGTGCCTCTTAGTTTCTCTTTATGTTTACTTGTGTTTGAGGAGGGCTCCGGGAGAGCCGCTGGTGAAACGGGAACGCAGCGACCCCGGCTACTCGCTGCAGGAGATATGAAATGGGGACTTGGCTTTTCTCCAGCTGGGGGAAGACATCCAGAGCCAGGTTTGATGCTCACAAGCCTGAGTCTCCTGTATCTGCATAATTAGTGCCTCTTAGTTTCTCTTTATGTTTACTTGTGTTTGAGGAGGGCTCCGGGGTGAGCCCACGACGGAGCTGGTTTGGCTGCCAGCTTTCCTTCAGCCTCACTTGAGGCTGGGTGCTTCCAAGCGATGGAAGCCCTTTGGTCAGCAGTGGATCCAATGTGCCTGGCTGGGAGAGCCTGTCCTCTCCAGCCTGAGCCAGGTGGGCAAATGAGGCTTCGCCTTTCAGGGAAGGTGGTTTGGGTTGCTTCCCCACTTGTGAGACTTCACTGTGATAGAAACTTGAACCAATCAGTGCCCAAGAAGAAAGAAAAATACCTGATCCTTCTCCTCCAGCCTTTCAAGACAAGTTGTCCTGGCTCTGACTTTGCCAAATCATTTGTACCATGGAGTGCAGGACAGTACATCCCTCTTGTACCCACCTGGGGAGAGGGCTCCAGGCTGCACATCCATCTGGTCCCGGCGGAGTGGTGCACGTGTGTGCTCTGGGACTGACACGTACATGCTCTGGGACAGGATTCCCAGCTGCTCCTGTGTCTCCCCAGCTCAGCGTTTCATTGCTGATCTGCAAATGCTCCTGGGCCACTGTCAGGCCAACGCAAGATACCAAAGGACTGAGGAAGCAGCAGCTGGTTGCAAAGTGTGTGCCCTGCGTGCTGATGCCCATGGGCAATCCCCATCCTCCCCAGGCAGAGGGGGACTGGTCCCACATCCTGGGCTTTGTCAAACTCTCACCGATGTCCTGCTAACGTGTTGAAGGTGGGTGCAGCTGCCTGTAGGGCTGCGTGTGGAGGATGGGGTGAGGGTGTGTGACTGCAGTGCCTTAGGCTGGGCTGGCAGGCCCATTTCCCCCTGTGCTGGGTGAGCTGGCACAGCTCAGGCTGAAACAGCCCATCCCGTGGAGCAGTGAGGGGTTGTCACAGCCCCGGGTGTGCTCAACACTCCACCAGCATTCCCCTGTGCTGTATCACTTCTGCAGCATCATGGTGGTGGCTCCCGTGGGGCTGAGCTGGGGGAGCTTCTGCCCCAGCGGGGTTTTATTCTCCCTTTCCATGACCTGTGAGGTCTGGGCTGATGTGGGCTACACAGGGCAGAGGAAGGGGGTGGAATCTGTCATCAAGTCAAACAGCAAAAACAAAACCCTGGGGCAAATCTGTCTGTGAATAAAGGCTGTGTCATAAATAGCTTTTATTATTATTATTATTTCTAATGATGCAGTATTTGATGTGAGCTTTTCCAGGGGTCTCGTGTACATTTGCATATCAGAGTATATTCTATCCAAGTATATTATTTACTCACTCCAAATGGTACTAAGGTAGCTGTGACACTTGAAAAACTAGTGCTAATGGAAAGTAAAAAGAACGTGTGTTTAGTGGCACATCTTTCCCTCTGACTGTCCCGTGTTGTTGTCTGTCAGGGTGATGTTTGTGTGTATATGTCTCATATCAAAGTAGCAGGAGGCAAGTGAGAAAGCTGGATTTGTCTGTAAATAACCACAGTGAAAACTCCCTGGGTCAGAGTCTGCACTTCAGATCCTGCTGATGAGATAAGATGGTCTAAAAAAACAACTGAGCAACCAGGTCTTAAACTCCCCTGCTCCCACCCAGTGTGGGCTGAACTTCAGTGGGTGCATCGGCTCTCTGCAGCCGCTACCGACCGACCTCAGCCACCTTCTGCTTCCCGTGGACGGGCAAAGGAGATGCTCTGGAGCTCTGCAGCACTGTGCAAGGAGTCTGGATAACCACCTAAACCCCATCTGCACAAAATTCCCAGCTAAACCTGGATAGCAATAAACATATATCAAATGCTCAGGCCTGTACAATAAATGTTGTGGTGCCATTTCTTCTTTAGTCCTTGAAAGGAGGTGTCAGGGAGACGATGCAGCCTTGCTGCCATGAGGGCAGATGCAGGATCTGCCCCATTGTGGTCTAATCAAAGCAGTTCTGGCCAGGGACCTGGTGGCTGCAGGGAGAAAGATTCCCCATGAAACAGCAGCTGGTTTGTAGGGGTAATAATCCCATTGCACCAGAGTTCACAGTGGGGAGAAGAGGCTGAAAGATGAGGCTGCTGCTAAGCACGGGGCCATGAGAACCATTTTCCAATTACACTTCCAGACTAATTGTGGAGGATGGGAGAAGTGAGAGGGATGTGACAAGTGACATTATTCCTGCTTGGACCCCTCCGGAATGGAAGGTTTAGACTCAGCCCCTCTCCCCTGCATCCTTGCTTGCTTTGCTCTCCCTCAGGATTACACCTGCTCTTGCAGGGATGGCTGGACCAGCCTGAGCCTCTTCCTTCAGATCCTGAGCCTCAGGGCTGGAACAAGGGGAACACAGAATCAACTGCGTTGGAAAAGCCCTTTAAGGTCAACTCCAACCATTCCCCAGCACTGCCAAGGGCACCACTAACCCGTGTCACTGAGGGCCTTGTCTATTTGGGAACACTTCCAGGGATGGTGGTTCCGCCCCCCGGCTCCCTGGGGAGCTGAGCAGCATCTCCTCACCCTGAGCACACCCGGCTGCAAGCAGAGAGCAAAGCACAGCTCCAGACACACTCACACCCTCCAGCTCCAGCTGCCTCTGTCTTGCCCTGTGGTATCCTCACTGGCAGTTGATCTGCTTCCCATCACACATTCCAGTGAGGAGTGTCCTCGTTGTCACCCACCGCCCAGTGTCACCACCTTCCATGGACCATGGCTGTTCCCACTTCCTGTGCCACCTCCTGCATCCCAGGACTGTCTCTTGCACTCACCACCACGCAGCTCCCAGCCAGCAGAGAAAGCCAGGACACGACAGGGAAGTTTGAGGTGGTGCCGAGGGTGGTGGGTGACACCAAGTGTCCCAATCCCAGGGCAACCAGGGGCGTGCAACACCGTGGAGCCAGTTCGGCATTGCCAGTCCCTGGACTTGTCCTGGAGGGATGAGCTTCAAGCAGGACAGTGTGGCACAGCCGGGG